CATCGTGGCGGCCTGCAGCCCCCTCCATCGTGGCGGCCTGCAGCCCCGGCTCGTGGCAGCCCATGGCGCCCTTCGCTGTGACAACCTGCGGCCCTCTCGCTCGCAGCACTCGTGGCACCTCACATCCCGCTCGTGGTGAAGAGCAGAAGTCTGGAGGGCTGTGGGTTTTGCGGTGCGTCGATGCTCTGGTTGTAGGTTCCTTGGTTTCACGTCGGGGTTCGAACGCTGTCTTTCAAAACCCGTATTTCTGGTTGTGACAGAAAAGGTGAATGCAGGTATTCCTCCAATTTTGGTGTCTCTCGCCCCGGCACATGAGTTGATTTATTTTGACAACAGCAGTTTTACCTCGTTTTCATACCACGTTGCCAAGTCGCTGGGTTTTTTCCCACAGCCTCTGTGGAGCTGACATCTCCACAAGTGGAAACGGGGGAAGGCAGAGCTTTTCCATCGTCTGCATGCAGACCCTCCGAAGGGTTTTCATTTCTGAAGCAGCTGCTGGTAAATACAGCTGTGCTGGGTCAGTGTTAGAGCATCCTCCTGTTGCTTTTGCCTTGCAGCAGGTGATGATGAGCCAGCAGCTCCAATGGTAATCAGGTGGATCATTCTCATTCTTGGATTCTTCTTGGCTCATTCAAAGAGTGAAACAGGAAAAAAAAACCTCAAAAGGTGAACCTTAAAATAACTTTCCGCTTGGAGTCAGTCGTTAAACACTGCAAATTACATCTCTCAGAAGAATTTGAATACTTGAAAAGCATATTTCCGTTTGGGAATTAGACATAATGCTTCTTGTATTATCCACGAGCTATCATGTAAACCAATTGGCAGTTTATACATCTTTCCTGTAGTGGAGTTACTATATATAAAGTTGGCTTTCTTTCCACGGTGTCTGCTAACTTGCTAATTTAAGAGCTTAGACTCACAGTGTTCATAAAAATCACTATTTTCTCTAATGGAAGCCATATGGTGGACTCCTTTTTTGCTATATATTAAAGCCTGTGGAAGACAGTGGCTTCTAAAAGGTCAATTTATTGCATACTGGAGGACTTCAGTGTATTAACATGCACTCTTTCAGCCTGCTGGGTCGTGTTAGCAGCAAGGGGAATTGCGTTAAGGATGCCCCCAACTCTTAGTTAAGTCTGTTTTGATGAATAATTGATCTGGCTGGTAATGGCTGCAGCCTGCTGGAAAGTGATGGAGCTGCTGCCCAGGCAGGCTGGAGTTTTCCTTGCTTTTATATTTTGGGTGTCAGCTCAGAAAGAGTGGAGCCTCTTAAAAACCACGCGCAGAGCCTGAAAAAAGTGTTGTTAGAAACCAGCAGCTTTAAAAGTCCTGTTTTTGTGTTTTTCAGTGGAGTGTTGTGCAGTAAGGTGAGGGATGAGAGCTGCAGGCTGTTAAACTTTGTCAGCAAAGAAGTGGTGTGTGCATCACAATGGATTGTCTTCACAGCACTCGGGGAGGCTTAGAAAACAGAGCTCTGGCTCTGACCTGAAGCGCTTGGCTTGCCTGCATGCTGGTGGACATAACACAGCCTGACCTTCCACTTCCCTTTCCGAAGGGCAAAATGCTGTTTGTTTGTCTTCAGTCCCACGCTCCGTGTTCAGTGTGTGCTGTTATGGTGACCCTGCCCTTCGTTTTACAGCCAGAAATGCAGTTCTGGTTTTGGGAGCTTTGGGGAGGTTGTGCATCTGCAGCAAGCAGGAGCAGCAGCTCCCTCTCAGCCCTGTGCCTGTCTGCTGCATGCTCAGGAGTGTGCGAGTTTGTGACCACGGGCAGCAAGCCTGATGTGCTGGGCGCTTCATTTCATGGGAACGTTTCTTCGAATCCAAATCCTGGGCAGGAACGTAGCTCCAAATGTCGTGGGCAGATGGCCCAGCGTTACTTTCCAGGTGGGTGTCGTGGGAGCTGACTTGACGTTTCTCTCGTATGATGGTGACCGCTTTCGATGCCTTCTAATCCAGGTAAAAACTGGGATCTGAGTGCAGCACTGAGTGACTTCGAGCAGCTACGGCAGGTGCACGCAGGGAATTTGCCACACTCCTTCAACGAGGGCCGCAGCTACAAACCCCCAGAGAAGGAGGCAGCCCGGCCCGGGCGACCACCGCTGCAGCGGCAGGATGACATTGTGCAGGGTAAGAGCCGTCAGCCTCGTCAGTGGAGCAGTCGGAGGATGGTAGAACTGCTCAGGTTGGAAAAAGGTCATAAAAAGACCTTAAAGATCATCAAGTCCCTCCGCAGCCCAACCGTACTACCCTAACCCTAACAACCCTCTGCTAAATCCGGTCCCTGAGCAGCACATCCAAAGGCTTTTAGACACATCCAGGGATGGTGACTCAACCACCTCCCTGGGGAGCCTATTCAAGTGCTTAACGACCTTTTCTGTATAGAAGTCTTTCCTGATATCTGATCTAAACTTACCCTGGTGCAACTTGAGGCCATTTCCCCTCGTCCTGTCACCAGTGAGAAGAGACCAGCCCCGCTGTGCTGCAATCACCTGTCAAAGATGGGCAGGGAACAATAAGGTCGCCCTTGAGTCTCCTCTTCCCCTGCCCAAACAGCCCCAGCTCCTTCAGTCTCTCCTCATAGGGCACGTTCTCCAAGCTCTTCCCCAAGCCTTGCTGCCCTTCTCTGGACCTTTCTGTACTGAGGTGCCCAAACCTGAACACAGAACTGGAGGTGAGGCCTCAGCAGCGCCGAGTACAGGGCAGGATGGCTTCCCTATTTCTGAGCTGGAGGTGTGTTGGAGCAATTCAGCTTCACAAAAAGCGCAAACTGAAGGCAGCGATTTTAGTAATGGCTTTGGTGAGGTTTGCTGCTTCTGCACCATTCGAGCGGTGTTTCGTTTTCCTTCCCCTGCCAGAAAAGCGCCTGTCTCGAGGCATTTCCCACGCCAGCTCCACCATTGTCTCCCTGGCCCGCTCCCACGTCTCCAGCAACGGCAGCAGTGAGCACCTGCTGGAGATGCCCATCTCCACCTTCCAGCTGCCCGACCTCACGGTGTACACAGAGGAGTTCCGCAGCTTCATCGAGCGAGACCTCATCGAGCAGTCAATGCTGGTGGCACTGGAGCAGGCTGGTAAGCGATTTACGCTCTCAAATTATTTCTTTTCCATGCCAGTGCTGCACGGTGGTGGCAGTTCGCAGCGGCGCCGACTGGAACATGCTGGCATGTGTGCCAAGGGCTGCAAAGAACTGAGAGCAGGGATGTGTATCTGTGATAGATTTTGTTTCGTCCCTTTTTGTAGCGTGGTGCAAGGGTTGAGCAAGATTCTGCTTCGCTTTGCCTGCAGACACAGAATGCAAATTGTGTGTGTTGTCATCGCTCATGAATGGTAACACTGAAAAAAACACCAAGTTGCATTATCTCACCACCTAAACCTCCCCATGCCCCGTGCTGTCCCATCAGCCCTACTGCGAGAGGGGGGGGGGAAGAAATGACTGCATAATGCAAAGAGCAGCGAATCATCTGGCCGGATATTAGAAGTGATTACAAATGTTTTAGGTGGATGATGCGTTTTATGTGCTTGCTAATTCAGTGCAGGAAAACTCGTCTGCTGGCTTTGTGTGTGCCTGGAGAGGAACCACCTCGTGAGCGCGGACGGATTTGTTTTCCAACGTGCTGTTTTCCTCCTGAATAGTTGCTAGGTGATCTGTAAATAAGATTGGGCTGGTGAATGAATGGGACCTCCGTGCTGGCAGGGAGGAGCCTCGTCCCTGTTACATGGCTGGGGCAGGGGGGGGCACCGGGCAGGAGCTCAGAAGCCTTTACATCTTCTGTCGCAGTGCACATACCTACAGAACTCCTATTCCTTCAGAGAGAACGTAGATTCTTAATCTCAAATTTTAGCCCTGTCCTGCTCAGGTGTTCCTGTAATAAATATTCTCATGTTTTGGAAATGAGCACTTGATCCCAGCGATCTTGTTACGGCAGCGTTGCTGTTTGTGCGTGGTGAAGCTGGTGCAAATTGAAGCACACTTATCTGCATCTCAGCAGAGTTCAGGCTGGGTATTGGATTGCTGCATGTTTGGCACAAACTCTGCCCAACAGCTATGGGATGTTTAGATCCAGTTTTCAGCACGGTTCCCTAAAACTGTAACCGCTGTGAATCCCTTCAGTGTACACATAACGCATCCAGCAGGTCCCTCTGTGAGCTTGGTGGAAGAGGAGTGAGCTGTTGGCAGAGCAGGCAGCCCACCCTCAGGGGGAGCTGCGTCAGCCCCTCGGCTGTGCTCCTCCATGGGAGAGCTGGGGTGCTTCCCCGAGGTAATGTTCAGTAACTGACTTTTACAAAGCGCCCTTGGAGGGCAAAATGAACCTGCATTAGAGGTGTGGGTTTGTCATAAATGGGTGTTTATCTTTAATAAAGGGCTGCACTGCGTATATGGGATGCTCCAAGCGTGATTTGAAGCAGGGTGTTGAGCACGGTGCTGTGATCTACGCTGATATCCCTTCTTAATTTAGTGTGTGCTGTCCTTAGAGAATTAAGCAAATATTTTACAGACCAATAAATGTTAAGATGCTCTTCTCATTCTATCCAGGGATCCCTTTACACCACTGTGGCAGAGTAAGCGTGCTTAAAGTGGCTGTAAATTGTAATGACATCCTCTTGGAAAGCTTTTAATATGCTCAGAGCTCTGGAAGGGCCTTGGTGGAGTTGCGAATTTGGCCCTTGCTGCAACCTTGGCGTTCTTTGTTGCAAGCCTACATGGCTTAGGCCTTGTCCTGTGTTCTGCAGATGCAGGGTGCTTTTCTTGTTCTGCACGCAGAGCAGCAGCGGGCAGCGCCTTGCCTGAGGCCATCTGTAAAGTCAGGAAGAGTGGAAAGAAACCCTAGGCTTGATTGCTGTGCCTTTGCTCCGAGGTCAGTGAAATGATGCCAAGCCCTTTTCCAAAAGTCCCCCCAGCATGTTGGCAAGGAAACTTCTGCTTCTTCCTCCAGGCTGGCGCTGCAGTAAGCGTCTGTAGGTGGACTGTTTAAAAACTGCTGAGTTAAGGATTCAGCCTCTCTTCCCTCAACGCTCGCTTTGCTGTTGGACTGGTGAACAAGTTCCTTGTTCCTGGAGCGTAAGCATCCCGCGTCTCAAAGCAGGCAATCAAAGAAACCTGCACCCTTCCGTCCCTGCCTCAGCCATGCATCACCCGGCTCCTGAAGCTTTTCAGCTTGGTTCAGCTCGTGCCTGACCAGAGGCACGTGTGCGCACGTACTCCCCGCTCTTACGCACTGGCATCTGACCTGCAAAGCTTCTGCAGATATTTGAGCCTTTCAGTCATTGGCCGCACTGATTTTTCTCAAGAGAATCACAGCATCACAGAATTGTAGGGGTTGGAAGGGACCTCCAGAGATCATCGAGTCCAACCCCCTGCCAAAGCAGTTCCCTACAGCAGGTTGCACAGCTCAGCATCCAGGCAGGTCTTGAACATCTCCAGAGCAGGAGACTCCACCACCTCCCTGTGCAGCCTGTTCCAGTGCTCCGTCACCTCACTGTAAAGAAGTTCTTGCACATATTTGTGCACAACTTCCTATGCTGCAGTTTCCGGCCGTTTCCCCTCATCCTGTCTCCACTCCCCACTGAAAACAGTCCGGCCTCGCCATGCTGCCCCCCACACCTCAGATATTTACAGTCCTGGATCAGCTCCCCTCTCCGTCTCCTTTTCTCCAGGCTGAACAGACCCAGTTCACTCAGCCTTTCCTCATAGCAGAGATGCTCCAGGCCCCTCACCAAGAGGAGAGAGGTGAGCTCACGGCTGGGCCCACCTTGCTGCATCACCAACACGTGAGGCTCCTGCTGGGCCAGTGCTCGTGCAGAACCTCGTGGCTGGGATTCCTTTGGCCCCTCTGCTGTCACCCTCAGCACTGAGAGTGGGAATCTGAGCCTCGGCTCTGGGGGAAGCGTTGCCCAACAGCCAGCCTTAGAGCTGGTGCTGCCATGCTCTGCAGCATTCCTGCAGGTGGAAACGGCAGCAGGGTTAGCTGTGACGTGTGGTAAGCCTCTGGTTCTTGGCCTTCATGATGGTGGAAGATACGTTCTGGTCAGGGAGAAAGGTACAGGTGTGTGAGTGCATCTCGATGAGCTCTTGTTGCCAGATCCTGAAATGGGAGAGTTTTCTGCAAGCTTTTGTCAAAGAGTTGGGCTCCGAACTGGACGAGGGAGCCTGCGCACAAATTATCTAGTTTTAGATAGGATCAATGAGCTTGCCACATTTTCTTGCTGCTTTCTCCTTTTTTGGTCTCTGATAACCCAGTTCCAGGAGGTGATCCCACTCCTTCTCCACCCGGTGATTCAGCAAGGGGAGAAAAATGTGTTCTGCAGCAACTGCTCAAGCACAGAGGTGGGTGTTAGCGCTGGATCGCGTCAGCCTGAGGAGCCAGAGAACAAATCATCCCCAGGAACGCTGGGAGGGCGGCCCTCATTCCGCACGGAGTCCCTGGTAGCCTCAGGGAAGCCATTTGATTTCAGTGAGTCAGCGCTGGGCTTTGGGCGAGGAGCAGCGCTGTCTTCATTCCTTCCTATTTGTGTGACCTATTTAGAGGTTCCTGTTAGAGGAAAGCTGCGTTTCGCAAAATGTGTGAGTTTGGACGCGGGTTCCTGAGCTGTTTTGGAACAAACAAATGCTTTTGCCGTGCAGAAAAACATCCTGAAAGCAGCTGCGTGGTGGAACTGGGTCCATAAGAGCGGTGCTGCTGGTGGCTGCTGCAAAGGGAAGCCCCTGATGCTGTGGACTGCTTCAGCTGTGCAAAAGAGCTGTCGCTGACCTCTTAGGTTTTGGAGCAGCATCAGCTCATAATGGAGCTTTTTCTGCCAGCCAGCAGGGAGAGAAACAAGCTGAAAAGCACAAGAAGAAGTGAGAGGTAGCCAGGAGCCCGAAATGCTGTGATGAGCCAGCAGTGAGCCAGCAACAGCGAAGCTTTTGGTGCGCGTGTCAGTTTGTCCTGCCAGTCACACGCTCGTTTCTCTCACTGTTGCTGAAGTGCTGATGGCAGGAAGATCCATTGTGCTCCTGAATCCAATTATTTTTCCCTTCTGCTGGCATGCAGAGCTTCCAGGAGTTGCTGCTAATAACTGTGCGTGGAGAAAGATGTTGTTTTAAATACTCGTAGGGGCCTCTTGGCCCTTTACTGCCTTGCCACAAGCAAAATATTGAGAAAGTTTGGGGAATGCGGCTCCTTCGGAGGGAGTGAAGCTGCGACGACCTCTCTTGCATAACTCAGAGCGTGTGGAAGTCTGGACAAATTACTCTGCGTGCCTCGCCGTGGATGTGCAGCACGTCGTGACTGCGTGCCACAAAGAGAAGAGCCTGCGGAAGGTGTGTGTGTGTGCCTGGGCCTGGCTGTGCTCTCTGGGGGTCTGCACAACTCCGGAGCGCTGAGCAGAGGTGCAGCAAACACGCTGGGAAGACAAATCTCACAAACCCAGTGGCTGCTTCCAGGCACGGAGCAGCAACGTTCCCAGGGAAACACACGAAGGCAATAAAGATCTCAGTGCTGACTGCGGTAGCGTTCTGATTTTGTTCAGCTTTTGTTAGATGCCGTTTTGCTTCTCGCTCTGCTCTTCTGGCTCCGCTCCATTTGGCGAAGGTTTGCGACGTCGCCGTGCCAGAAGCAATATTGAGTGCAGATCAGCCCCTGTTCCAAGCACAGCTATTGTCTCCGCAGCTCCAGCAGGTTCCTTTCCCCATGCTGAGAAAAGCGATCGGCAGCATCGCATCCCAGCGAGCTCTGCCTGTTATGCTTTTCCTGTGTTTATCTCCCAGCGGTGTTTAAAAGTGCTTTTGTGAACTTAGCTCTCCTGCGTCTGCTCTCACTGAGGTCGTGCAAACAGTTTCAAGCAATCACGTGCTCCTTGTGGAGCCAGGGGCCGTGCTCAGGAGCAGGGATGTTTGCTGGAAGTGCAGGGAAAAGGAAGCTGTGCTGGAAGAGCAGTTCAAGTGCGTGCAATGCTTTTGCCCCCTGAACAGAACATCCCCTCCCAAGTGCTTGTTGCAGGTGCAGGATCTGCTGCCAGAAGTCCCAGCCTCCTCCAGGGGCCGCGGTGCAGTGGTGAGCAGTTGTGAGCTGGAGTCGTAACACGGCTTCCTTCCCCTGATCGATGTTTAACTTCCAGCCTTCAGCTGAACTGCAGTGTGTTAATTTTTCCTAGCTTCTATTTTTAGATGAGCTGAAAACCCTCTCTCTTAACTTGTAGTCATTCACGTGCCTTATATTACCCAAAAGCTGCTATTTTTGAGCACTGTCAGTTTACGTTTTCATTGGTAAAGCTGCTTGGCTCAGCAGCAAAAGTTCTGAGAGCTACCCACACGAGATGCGTTGAGTTCTGCTTCCTAGAAGCAACTGAGAGCACTCTGGTTATTAACTGGGGAAACCAGAAGAGCTGTTGGCACCTTTTGTGGCTGGTGCTTTGGACGTGCTTTCGGCCTGATGGTTGGCTGGAGTTGTGAAACAAGCAGAGAGAAAAATGGGCAGGAGGAGAGCGCTGGTCCGGGTTAAATCCTAGCTGGGCTGGCTCCTGCTTCCAGCTTTAGCTCTGATTTATTTGACCTGAAGTCATTATTTCCCGTGTCCTGCCTGTTCTTGCAGCCTGGCCTTCTCCCCAGGTCGCCGTGATGATGTCGTAATTCCAGCCTGTCCTTTTATTGCATCTTCTTCGCTCCTTTCCTCTTCCAGCTGCAGGATGGACGTGCAGCTCATCTCTGTTGGTGCTCCCATTGCAGATTAAGCCGGCTGCAGCCCTCATCTCCCTTATTTTTTTGGTTCTGTGTCCAGCTATGTGCCTGGTTTTCATGCTCTCAAATATTCCCAGGTCGTCTGAACTGGTGGGCGAACGTGGATCCCAGCTGCCAGAGGCTGCTTCCCCTGGCCACCACGGGTGATGGGAACTGCCTGCTCCATGCTGCGTCCCTGGGTAAGAGCTTCACCGAGCGCATGGCCGGGCAAGCAGCTCAGTGATTCCCTCCAGCAGCCTCCCCTCTTTACCCCAGCCGCTTTCTGCTGTCAGCTCAAACAGCTGCTGCTGCTGGAGGTGGAAGCAGAGCCCAGGCACCCTGTCTGCCTCCGGGACGAGCAGCACCGCGTGCCCTTCTGTCCCTGTGGGATGCCGCGGTCTGGCTGCTCGCCCCAGGCAGGCAGCAGTGGATGCGCAGGGCTGGCGAGGAGAGCTGGAGCCGAGGGAAGCGAGCTGCCAAGTGCTTGTGTACTTCTAAATCTGTTCTCGCTGGGCTGGGCCTCGCCTCTTCCCTTTGGCAAGTTTCCCCGTGTTTCTGAAGGAAATGTGAAATAACAGAGCCGCCCAGTTCTCCGGAGGTGGCTGAGCAGAGCAGTTCCAAGAGCCCAGTTTTGCTCCTGTGAGTTCACCTCGTGACAAATTTTTGAGGTTTCCAGACTTCGAAATGAGTGGCCTCGTGTATTTCCTTTGTGCGGCTGGCTCTGTTCAGACGCAGCGAAGCCACAGTCTCATTTCACCTGGTCTGCGTTTTCCCTCGACGGAGCAGCGTAGCGCTGGTGGAAGGCACCATGTGCTCACGGGTTTGGGGGAGAGTCCTTGTAGCTGGAGTCCTTACAGCTTCTTACGTGGCTGTCTGAAAGCAGGCCGTGGATGGGATGTGGGCTTTGAGCAGGGAGTTTGTGGAATCAGTTGTTTGGGTTGGCCCTGCTCAACTGGCATCGCTCTGCCTTCGTTTCCCATTGTACCACTTGCCCTGCTTTGTGGCACGCTGTAGGACTTAAGCTTACACTGATTATGTAGCAGAGGGTGGAGAAGTGCCAGTTCTTGCTAATCCCCCAGTGTTTTTCTTTCCCTCCATGCAGGTATGTGGGGTTTCCACGATAGAGATCTCGTGCTTCGCAAATCCCTTTATGCCTTAATGGATAAAGGTGTGGAAAGGGAAGCCCTGAAGCGGCGCTGGCGTTGGCAGCAGACACAGCAGAACAAGGAGGTAGGAACCAGACTGAATGTAGCCTGGGAGCAGAGTGCAAAATCCTGATCAGACGTCCCATAAGTTTGGGAGGAAAAACAAATGTCTTCGGTTTTAGGCAAGTCCGCAGCTAGCGCCAAGATGAGAAATATCCTTCAACGTAAACTCTGGCTGTGAAACTTGGGTGAAATTCCCTGTGTTACAGAGTAGGAAAATTCCTTTATTAGAGCCATGTTATGGAAAACAAACATCGCCACAGGCTGAAGATGCAGCCTTGCTGGGCTGCCCGGCAGCAGGATGCGATGCGTAAGAAGTGCTCCTGTGGGAGGGGGTCAGAAAGATGCACCGCAGCTGAAGCCAAAAAGGAAATCATGAACTTGCCACACTGAAGACTTCAAAGCTGTGACGTGCTCAGCCCCCACCCCAAAAGCAGGGAGCTGCCTTTGTCAAGGTGGAAAGTTACCACATGTCCTCCAATGGCGCTCTTGTTTTTTTTGTGAGCAGGGTAAACTTTGGTTTCCACCTGACACTGAAGGATGTTGTTTACTTCCCAGCTTCCTTTTTGTTTTTGGAAGGGCACAAAGATTAATATCTTGACGGTTTGATTAAAAAAAAAGTGTATTTCACTGTTTGAAACAGAGTGGTAATAAATAGTGGAGGTTTTACTGCTATTGAAAGCATGCTTCTGGGCATCTCTTTAATCTGCATGCTCAAGGCTATCTTCAGAGCTAGCTAACAACAGAGTCCTGTCCCTTGTAGATCTTACTTGAGAATGTTGATGCTGCAGGACCTTGGTGGTGCCATTCCCTTGTAACATCCCCAGCAGAAGCATCTGGGGACAGCAGCGGGCAGAGGAGGTGCGTGCAGCCGGGTGGAGCAGCCCTGGTTCCATCAGTGGTGATGAGGAGACGGTTGGACTAAATGATCTTGTAGGTCGTTTCCAACCTTGTGATTCTATGATCAGTGCTGCAGGCACTGCTGGGCTCGTCCCTTCCAGAGCAGCTCCAGAAGATGCAGCCCAGCGATGGAAAGCGCTCTGACTTACGCAGCTCACTCCGGGTGGAACATTCTCCTTTGTTTTGCTTTAGATGGGTGATGGAAGAATTCATAGCAAAAGCTTGACCAGGAGCAGAGAAACTTATTAATACTTCACTGAGCAAACGGAGCTGGCTGAACTGTCAGTTACTTCTGGTTCGTGGCGTGAAGGTTTCCTTGGCGGCTCAGAAGGTTTAGGATGTTGTGTTTGGAGGCTGGAGCTCTGATTTTTGGAGCCCAGGAAAGCAGGAGGAGAGGAGGGCTGCTGCACTTGCTGGGGCGTTTCTTGGTGCTTTTCCTTAGGACCTCGAACACAGCAGGCTCCAGCGTAGCTTTTTGCTTGGTCCATTTTAGGTCGTTTCCCATTTTGGTTCGTGTGGTGTCTGATCCCTTTCAACTCCTGGTTGTGTTGGAAGCTCTGTGAAAAGCTGCTGTGTTAGAAGAGCTGTGGTCCCCAAACCGAATTCTTACTGCAGCCTTTTAGGATTAGGATGGCTGTAGGAGGGGCAGCGTGTTCTGTACGTGTGCTGCTGTGGACGGAGTGTCTTCAGAGCACTGCAGGTCTGTGAGGCTGTGCCATACGTGGGTTTTCCTTGCAGTGCCACTGCCTTCAATGCTGGATCAGAGTAAGAGTAAAGCTTTCCTCTCGTTCTGTGGATCAAAATGTTGATTTCCACCCCACAAACACTCCAGGTCTTCATTTGAGGCTGATTGTCTCCCTGTGAGAATACTGATTTGGGAAACGCGTGCATTTTTGCATGACGAATTGATGATTTTTACACCAACCCAAAGGGAGGCGCTGGGGCCGCGCGTACAAAACTGCAGAAACTGGAAAAAAAAAGTCAGTCTGAGGATTTTGTCCTCTTTGCCTTTTTCAGTCCGGTCTGGTTTACACCGAGGAGGAGTGGCAGAAGGAGTGGAATGAGCTGATCAAGTTGGCCTCCAGCGAACCTCGCGTGCACTACGGCACCAACGGAGGCGGCTGCGGAGGGTAGGTGGAGCAGGACAGAGCTGAACGCTGATCTCCCATCTTTTATCATCTCCATGGCCCCAAAATGAGAGTGAGAAACAAAAAACGAGGATTTGAGCAGCGTTCTGTGCCCCTCCGTGTTGCAAGGGCACTTGATTGCTGCAGGCATCCCAAATTAACGCCATCTGGGGCTCCAAGAAGCGCAAGGAACGCGATGGTGTTTCCTGGAAACAAACCCTTGTCTTAGAAAAGGAATTGGTTTTGATCTATGTCTAAAATCTGAGATCAGAAAATGAAACTTGACAGGCAGCTGCAGCGAAACAGTGTCGGAATCTCTTGCTGTCATTAAAAGCAATGAGCGGAGGCGCGGGGGATGAAAAATGATTGATTTCTTGTTTCTGAAAGTGTTGAAAGCTCCGAGGAACCCGTGTATGAGAGCCTGGAGGAGTTCCACGTTTTTGTGCTTGCCCATGTGTTGAAAAGGCCCATCGTGGTGGTGGCAGACACGATGCTGCGAGACTCAGGGGGAGAAGGTAGGAATGGCACTCTTGGTTCTTTTTCTGCATGCGCTCATTCCGTGCGTTTTCCCTTGGCTCCATGTGGTTCCTGGGCACTTTGTGCCCAGTGAAGCTGGATCTCCAATCTGACAGCGGAGCACAGGGGGGGCTGAGCTTCTGTGGCTGCTGTGGGTGATTCCAGGGGAGGGTGTGAGGCGTGCAGACATCACAGCCTGTCCTGTTGCCTTTTCATTATGCTTTTCTACCTCTTCTGCCCCTGCACATGTGGGTGTACAGAAGGGAAATTCCATTCCCTGCATGTAGTGTTTTCCACTGGCAGAGTTAATTTCCTGTCAGAGATTAATCAATTACCATCGTTCTGGGTGCAAACTTAATTGTTTCTTTTGTGGAGGAGCGAAGAAGGGCTTTCATAGAAAACACAGATTCATTTGGTACCTGTTTTTCTCCTGGTGTGAAACGAATGTCTGCCTTGGGGGTTTGTTGTCCCTCAAGTTGACAGAAAACCGCAGGTAAAACCTCGAAGTGAAACAAACAGTGTTCTGGAGCACTTTCAGTGTAAACAACTCTTCCCTCTTTAACCTGTCTTGAAAACTGATCAGCCTGCTTTCTTTCCAGCCTTTGCCCCTATTCCCTTTGGAGGTATCTACCTTCCCCTGGAAGTTCCAGCCAACAAATGCCACCGCTCTCCGTTGGTACTGGCATACGACCAAGCCCATTTCTCTGCCCTGGTATCCATGGAGCAGAAGGAGTCCACGAAAGATCAAGGTATGTGATAAACGAGCGCCCTGGGTTGCGGTCGCAGAGCTGCGTGTGCTTTGGGTGGCAGCAGAGGCCATCAGAGCTGACGCTGTTGTTGGTGAGCCCTCGCAGCCTGGCAACGTGGCGCGGGGCTCGGGGAGCCTGCAGGGGAGCTGGATTCAGCTGGGCTGTGTGCTGGAGGTGGATGCAGCTCCGTGTCAGCTGCAGTTCTGGGGACCGAGGGGACGCGGCGCGGAGGCGGCAGGCTCTGTCTCCGTGCCAAATCCCCTCCTTTCGGGTGCTGAGGGCCTTTCTGTTCTCTTCCTTGCGCAGCTGTGATCCCCCTGACAGACTCTGAGCATAAGCTGCTCCCCGTGCACTTTGCAGTGGATCCTGGGAAGGACTGGCAGTGGGGAAAGGATGACGGTGACAACGTCAAGCTGGCCAGGTTGGCGATGGGGCACGGAGTGGCTGCAGTGCGGCCCTTCCTCGGTTATGCTCACAAACACGGGGGGCTCTGGTAGAATATTCTGGGTGGGACGATGACATCTCGCCAGCTTCCCTCTGCAGGGTAAGAGGTGATTGCTCCAAATGCTGCGTGGAGGTGCAGATCAGGCTTAGATTGTACCTGAGAAGCAAAGGAGGAGCAGCTGCTGTAGCCTGTATTGCAGACATGAGAAAGGTGTATTTTTCCATTCCTGTGCCCCCCCGTTTAAGAAGGCAAATACCTTCCATTGGAGTCGGAGGACGGCCTGCAGGCAGCCCCAGCCTATTTTGGGCTCAGGCTGTGGGCAAGCCCTGTCATCATTCAGGAGGAGCAAATTTCCTGTTGGTGAGCCAGAAATCACCAGCAGTGGCATCGTGGTGGGAGAGCTGGGGCATGACTGGCCCGTCATGTGACTTTGGGTTAGGAAATGTAGAAACCTCCAAGGTCAGAGTATTCAGGCTCAGGGCAGGCTTAAGAGGTACAGATGTCTCCTCGGAGGGATTCTGAGCCAATAGGAAATACCTGTGTTTTTAGTGGGGAAAAAATCTGCAAGTGGAAATTGTTGAGAAAACATCTTTACTTTTTTTATTTTTTTTATTTTTTAAGAGGAAAATCATTTTGAAAGGAGCTCTAATTAGATCTGTGACGTCTGCTGTCTTGTTACTTGTCTCACATGCAAGTAAGGATTGCTGGCCAAGTTGGTTGTAACTCGTAGAAAACTCCATTCTGACATTCAGAAGTCTCCTCGCATACTTGTTTTGGCTTTAATTGAAAGGTTTGGGAGACTTCTAAAAACGCTGGCTTTTGTGTTGCTGTTGTCTTGGTTGTTTCTAACTGATCTATGAAAATGCATTAAAACAGACAAATTAACGTGGAAAAAAGAACCTTTGTCGTAGAAACGGGCTGTGACTCTTCTGCTTTACATTTCAGCGTGACGCTCTCGTTGGAAGCAAAGCTGCACTTGCTGCACAGCTACATGAATGTTAAATGGATCACGTTGCCTTGTGACATGCAGGTAAGAGATGAGGAGCGTTTCCTTTGCTGAATTATTTACGCTTCCCTTCTGCAGGGCCGCAGAGGTGAAATCGTCGCCGGCTTCACGTGAGGCTCTGCGCTCCGTTCTGCGCTGCGGCTGCGTTGCTCTGGGCGGTTGAGCCACCCGTGTTTTGGTGCACGCTTTTTTTGCAGAGCTTTTCGAGCCTGTTTTCACCCTTCACGCCAACGTGAGGCCGCCCCGCTGCGCCCCGCTGCGCACGCATCCTGCTGTGTGCGTTTGGCAGCGCCGGCGGCTGCTGCTTGTTCCCAGACAAACACTGAGCGTTGGTTTACAGCCGCCAGAAGCTGCCCTGAGGGTCACGGTGTGACTGGAGCTTTCCTGGGACCTTACGTTGGCTCATAGAGTTCTGAAAACTTCCATCTGTTTCCAGCATCTCGGTGGTGATGCGGCGCCGGACCGCGGCAGCTGCCCCAGCGGTGGGGATGTCCCCAGGCTGCCGAGCGTGGAGGAGGTTTCTTGCTTTTCTCCTTTTCCTCCTGTCTCCTCTTTTGGCAAAAATTCCCTGGACTTCCTCGTGAGCTGTTCTGATCGCAGCCGTTCTGATCTGCCTGAGGTCAAGCTGTTAAAGCTGCAGCACAGCTCGAGCGGTGACGTTTGGTCGCTCTTTGCTGCAGCGTCTCTGATGCGCAGTAGCTCCGGAGCTGAGAGCCGCCACTCGTCCCCTCCGTTCTCCTAGCACATGCCTGCGTCTCTGCTTCACCTTCAGCCTAAAAATCTTGTCTGAGCAGCTCAGTGACTTGCCATGTGTTTTCTTTCTCCCAGGCGCCTTTGGCCCAGCCGGAATCCCCCACAGCCTCAGCAGGGGACGATGCCCGTTCAGCTGCGGAGTCGGGAGAGTCAGACAAGGAGTCGGTCTGCAGCAGCTCAGCAAGCAACGGGGGCAGCAGGGGCTGCAAGGACAAAGAGAAACCAAAGAAAGACCGAGAAAAGGACAAGGAAAAGGATAAGAAACGGGCCGACTCGGTTGCCAATAAGCTGGGCAGCTTTGGCAAGACTTTGGGAAGTAAGCTAAAAAAGAACATGGGTGGGTTGATGCACAGCAAAACTATCAAGGGAGGTGTGAGCAACGGGCAGGGGGACACCCTGGAGAAGAAGAAAAAGGGATCCTTGAAGACGAGGAAAGGCAGCAAGGAGGAATCCTCCCAGGGAGACCTTTCGGTTCCTGGGGAGAAAAGCTGCGTGGGTAAAGGAGCTTCCGAGAAGCCCTCAGACCCCTACAAGTACAGCAACGACGTGCGGCTGAGCCTCAGCATCCTGCGCGCTGCCATGCAGGGCGAGCGCAAGTTCATCTTCGCCGGCCACCTGAAGACCGGCCACCGGCACCAGTACCAGGAGGAGATGATCCAGCAGTACCTCCTGGATGCTGAGGAGCGCTTCCTGGCCGAGCAGAAGCAAAAGGAGGCGGAGAAGAAGGCGCTGGGGAGCGCCGCCCCTGCCAAGAAGCTGGAGGTGGAGGCGAGGGGCGAGGAAGCCCTGCACGGCCCCGTGTACCCCCAGCCCCCCCCGGCCTACACCATGCACACCCCGGATTTGGCCATCGGCGCTAAAATGGCCGCGTTTCCCTCCAGCTACTCAGGCGTCTTCACCTTCCCCAGGCCCTCCGTGGTCGGCGGCGGTGCAGAAGGCTCGCACCCCCCCAGCTACCACGAGGGTCGGCGGCAGGTGGCGGGGGGCTCCTGCAGCGGCCTCCCCCCCTACGCCACCCTGCCCCGGCACTGCGCTCAGGCGCGGCCGCAGCCTTCCCACGTGGGGAGGTTCTCCCCCACGGACACGGACGTTCAGCCCAGCTTCCCCACGGAGTGCGAGGCCCCTGCCTGCGTTCCCCCCCAGCACAGCAACGGTTACCGGGAGTACGTGGAGCAGGACGGCCCGCAGAAGGGAGCAGCCGTGGACAAGACGAGAGGCAGGGTTCTTTATGGCGTTCAGCAGACCAAATGCAAGCAGCCAAACTGCAGCTTTTACGGGCACCCAGAAACCGGGAATTTCTGCTCCTGCTGTTACAAAGAGGAGCTGAAACGTAAAGAGCGCGAGGCGCTGGTGCACAGGTTCTGAGCGCTGCCAGGGCCGGACCTGCAGCACGTGAGGAATGCAATAATGTGTGGTTTGTCCCCGCGCTGCTCCTCTCGCTGGCTGGAAGGAGGGAGTGGGCTGACAGCGGCGTTCAGCTCTGCGCTGCGGAGGAGATCCGGGCGAGGGGCTGGGAGGAGCGGTGCCTCCCTGCAGAGACTGGGGCAGAGGGGCTCATCCTGCCTGGATGGGGTCGGCGCAGGGGCGAGCTCAGGTGGGAGCTGGGGGCGGAAGGGGGGTCCGGCGATCCGTATCCCAGACCAAAGCTTTCAGCTGGACCCCGACGCCGCCCCGCTCCAATAGTGCTTCCCAGAACGGAGCGGAACGCCCCATGATCCCAGTAAGGAAGTCGCAGACCTTTCAACGGAGAGATTTTTATTTTTGTTTTTAACACTTTATTATTTTTTTTTTTTCCTGGTACCGAGAGAAACGTTGGAGCGGGATGTTGTCGTTTTGTTTCGGTGGGACCGAGCCCGTCGGATGTCTCAGCGCCTTCAGCACCACGGGGGCTCTGCCCTCCCCCCCGCGGGCTCGGCTCTGGTTTTTAAATACTGTTTTTAAGCTCTTCAGGAGGGCGGGAGGGGGACCGAGGGTGGTGTCAGCGCTGAGCCGTGCTGAGTTTTCCTGCAGCAGAGCCGTTCTGTTGGCGGCACAGAGATGGCAGAAGGTCGGTGCCCCCACCAGCAAAACCTCTGGCGTGGAGCAGGAGAGAGGACAGAGCCCTGCAGCACGGGAGGTAACGCCGCGCCGCCCTTAGCTTCCAGCCCCACGTGGATACGCGCGATAACTTTCTACTTGAGCAAGCTACTTCCATACTACCTCTGTTCTGCTGAATAGAATTAACTCGGCTCCATTTTGCTGAGCCACGTAACTGACCTTTAGGCTGAGTAATACGAGAGATATTTTTGATAACAGGGCTAAAGAGCGAGGCGTAAGGAAGGCGAACCCGTCACTGCGTCACTCACAGCCACGCGGCCGCGGCGCTCCCCGCTCGGCCCTGCGGTCGCCGGCGTTCACGTCTCGCAGGGGGGGCTGTGATTCAGCACTGCGATGTTTGCACAGATATATTTTTTTTGTTTGTTTTTGTAATTAGGGATCCCAAACCGGGCTCCATCCTCGGCCCAGTCCTGTATAGAGCGAGGTTCAGCATTTTACCACGTGGAAATAAAAGATGAGTTCTGCCGATAACTCAAAAGCTTTACAACATTCCCTTGTTGTTGTTTCTCAGAAGGCACCCAACTATGCAATCCCTCCCCGTGCTGCTGCGGGGAGAACCGGGCTGCTTACCTGGAGCATCGCCCACAGCCTTACAGCTCTCGGTTCTGACAGCAGATTCTGCCCGTTTCATGTCTGAAACCCCACAGAATTTAGGGCCTTTCCCCCTGGAGGCGGCCGGCTGCACCGTGCTGCTGTGCTGCTGTGCTGCTGTGCTGCAGGGCGCCCCGGGCTCAGCTGGCTGTAAATAGCAGAGTTCTTTCACCGGTTTCACTCACTGAAGTTGGTTTTGCTTTTCCTACCGCTGCTGATCTGAGTGCAGGGCGGCCGTGAGCCATTGGAGGTAACGGCGGGGCCGGCGGGGTCTCATGCAGGGGGCTCAGCTCCCGGCCCATGGGAACGGCACAGGTCAGTGCAGGGGGCTGCTGGGCTCTCATTGCAGCGTGAAGCTCTGCGCTCCCTGCCCCAACCGTGGGCAGTGCAGGACAGGGGGGAAGGCAGATCCCGCTGCTGCCCCGTGGCCACGGTTTGGGGGGAAACATCTCCATTTCAGAGCCTCCCACAGCGGGCTGAGCTTTGGGCTCTGGGTTCGGCGCCGCTCCGTGTTTGCTGATAGCAAAGTGCTGTGAGGGGAGAAGCGTAGGAGAGCAGCGGTTGGACGCGTGCAGCCACGTCGGCTTATGGAGGAAACAAACCGACCCCATGGCTGCGGGAGGTGCTGGTGCGGCTCCCAACAGAAAACCATCTCCTACCCCACGTGGAGCTGCTGCCGCTGCTTCTCCTCCTGAGGGCTTTGGGGGAGAAAAGGGCTTTTGGAGGAGTGCTGCGTCCCCGCAGCGTTCCTGAGGGAGAGGAGAAAGGGGGTCTGAGGGCTGCGACCTCCCTGCTGGGCCGTGGGTGCAGTTTCCCATTGTGGGGGTTTTGCAGGCGCAGCAGCGCGTGGGGCAGCAGCTTCCCCGCCTGCTCTGCCCTCCATGCTGTGGGTGGTGGGGTTTGTAGCTTTTTTACACACAAAATTGGGGAGGAAAAACAAACAAACAAACAAAGCTTTAGGCAAAATGAGGTTTTCAGTGAAGTGAGTGGAAGGGTATTTTTTCCTACGAAGCGGGGACCCTCAGCATCGCCGGCCCTCACAGCTCCACCCGGGGGCGATGGCTGCATTTCTTCGGGATTTTTGCAGGTCCTTTTTGTTTCCTTTATGGTGAAACGGCAATTCCGTTTTGTTTTAAAGGGATCCCTCAATACAAATCCTATTTACTGCAAAGATCTTCACCATCCACCGCTTCCTTCCCGCGGCCGCGCTGCAGCCCAGCTCAGGCGCCCGTCTTTATGAGCGGGGCTGAAGGGAGAGCAGCCCATCTCCAACGCGCCTCTCCTGGGGGAAAGCACCAAGCTGCTTCCTGGGATGGGGACGGGGCGGCCGCCGCGATGCCCAGGGCTTCAAATGCACTTCTTGGGGTGGTGGGAGGAGGGCCGGGTGCCCCCCGCTTTGTCCCACCTGCAGGCTGAGCCCCACTTCGGCCCCGCGCGTCCATGGCTGGGTGGGAGGCTGCGGCACAAGAGGTGACCTGAATGAATTCCGCAGATCTGGACAAAACCCTTTTCTTTTTCAATTCCTATTGCAATTATGGGGTTGGTGACCTTCCCCCCTCCCCCTCCCTTCACCCCCCCCCCAAAACAAGCTGTACCAGCACTGGATGGCGCGTTGTATCGGGCTGTACCCGCTCCTTCTGCTTCCATGGCCTCACTGACAATAAAAGCTCTTCCTCACGCCCGCCTCGTTCCTGCGCCGTGGGCTGAGCCTCCCCAGCTCTGGGCTTGTGGGTCTGAGTGGATTTTCCTCCCATTCATTTGAGATTTCCCTCTGCTGGGTACCAAAGGCCGCTCTCAAAGGGAATTCACTGCCTCTCTCTCCATCTCGGCCTTTTAGGGGACCCTTTTCCCCAGGCACTGCTGGATGGATGCTCGGAGCGCAGCACAGACACAACCCAGCCCCATAAAACACTGAAACGGAGGCAGGAGGAGAAAGGGGCGGCTGCAGCCCCACGGCTCTGTGGGGTGAACCTGTTTGGGGTCAGATCCCAAAAGCCCCCGCAGAACCTGACCTGGGAGCTGCTCCCCTGTGCTGCAGCGCGTCGGTATCCCGGGCTGACCCCGGCTTTGGCATCTGGCCCTGGCTGAGGGCTTGCAGGAAATTCCTCCTGTCTGCGCAGCACTGCAGCCCCAGCCCCAGCAGGGCCCCGGGTGCCCTATTCCTACAGGTGCAGTATTGGGGATGGCCTGAGATGCACATTGTGGGAGTCTTGAAAAGGGCTGTGGGCCAAAAGAAGTGGGGGGGGGAGGGGGGGGGGGAGGGTGTCTGGTGAGTCATGGGGGGGCAAGGGGCTGGGGAGAGGTGTGGGGTACAGCAGCATCCATCCCTTGTGGGATGCAGGAGCTGCACGTCCGCAGTGCAGCACTGTGCTTCCATTACAGGAGTCAGGAAGATTCATGGCCCCCTCCAGCACCATGCTGACCTATTGGGGTGCTGGGAGCTGTGCAACCCCCCCCCAGCACCACGCATCCCTTATGGGCTTCAGGGTCCTGTAGACCCCCTGTCCAACTCTGTGTCTCCTTTATGGGGTGGTGGAGAGATGCATCACCTCCCTCCAGCACCACGCATCCCTTATGGGATTCAGAGAGAGATTTGTCCTCCCCCAGCACCACAGCAACCTATTGCGGTGCCAGCTGCAGGAGCCCCCCGCCAACCAGCACCATACAACCTTATGGAGTGGGGGGAGATGCAACCCCTTCCAGCCCCCCCAACCCTACACAGGACTCACAGAGCTGTGTGACCATTCAGCACCTTAAAAAATTCCAGAGTGGAGGGAACTGCACCCCCTCGGCCTTTTCCCCATCTTTCCACAGAGCTCAGGGAGCTGCAGCCCCTCCCCACCCTTCCTGTACCATGCAACCCTTATGGGGTTCAGGGAGTTGCAGCCCCCCATCCAGCAGCACACAAGCTTATGGGGTTTGGGGCCTGCAGGCCCCTTCTCCAGCGCCACGCATCCCTTGTGGGGTGCAGGGAGATGCGCTGTGCCACTGCATTGGGGTGCCAGGAGCTGCACACCTCCGTCAGACCCATAAACCCTCATAGGGTGTGGGGATCTACTTGTCCTCCAGAACCTTGTGGGGTGGGAGATGCAGACCCCCCCCACCACATGTAAGACTCAGGGAGCTGCGTACCCACCTCCAGCACCACGCAACATCATGGGGAGGGAGGAGCTGCACCCCCTCGCCTCCCCCCCCTCCAACCCTATACAACCTTATGGGGTTCAGCAACCTGCAGTCCACCCCATCCAGCGCCTTATAACCCGGTGGGCTGCTGTGGGGGGAACTGCACGCCCCCAGCACCACCCATCCCACATAGCGCTCACGGGGTTCCCCCCCCCCCACAACATCCCTATGGGACTCGGCACCACCTCCACCGCCCCGCACCTTTGATGGGCGGGGGGCGGCCGGACCCCCCCCGGGACCCCCGGACCCCACAAAGGCTCAGCAGCCGCCCCACCCCCCGCCCCGCCCCCCCCCCGGGCAGTGCCGTGCGGAGCTCCGCGGGCCGCGGGGGGGTCCGGGCGGGGCTCTGCGGGCAAAGTCCTCCGCCATGAGCGCGACGCGCGGCGGCCTCTCGGCCCTCCCCGTGCTGCCAGGTAGGGGGTGGGGGGGGTGGTCCGCTACGGGGGGCACCGACCCGGCCCTGCTGGGGGGTCCCGTGCCATCCCGTCCCGTCCCGTAGGGGAGGTGGTCCTGGAGGCGGCGCGGGGAGTGCGGCACCGCGGGGCGGGCGGCTCGGTGCGGGGCACGCTGCTCTGCACCAACGTCCGCGTGGCGTTCGTGCCCGGAGCGCAGGTGGGGACATGGCCGCACCGCGACCCCCCCCTCCCCTCCCCCTTTCCCCGGTCCCAGCCGCGGCCCGTCGCGGTCCCAAACCCGCTGCGTCCTCACCCCACGCTGCCCGCTGAGCCTCAGGGCTGCGCCCTGACCGGGACCCAGCGGCATCCCCGTCCCGACCCGCCCGTGTCCTCATCCCATCTGCATCTCTGTCCCCATCCGACCGTGTCCCATCCTGGTCCCATCCCAGCTGCATCCTGACCCCAAGATGCCCACACCCTGACTCCCAGCGGCTGCAACTGACCCTCTCCTACCTGCACCCCAGCCCTGTCCCAGCTACGTTCCTGTCCCCATCCACTTGTGTCCTAATGCCACCCCAACCCCATCCATGCTCTCTATCCCGGCTGCATTCCTAGCCCAGCCATCTGCATACACCCTGGCCCAGCCGCCTGCACCCTGACCCTGTCCCAGCTGCATCCCAGTCCCCATCCACCCATGTTCTCATCCCACCCCACCCAGAACCAATCCATCCACATCCCATCCCCGTCCTGACCCTAAACTACCCGTAATCTTTTGACCTGGTGGGGGCTGACAGGAAAGCTGGCGAGGAACTTTTGATAAGGGCATGTTGCGACTGGGTGAGGGGAAATAGCTTTAAACTGGAGGAGGGGAGATCCAGAGGAGATAGTAGGAAGAAATTCTTTACTGTGAGGATGGGGAGATGGTGGAACAGGCTGCGCAGGGGGGCTGAGGGTTCCCCATCCATGGGGTCGGATGCGATGGGGCTTCGAGCAGCCCGGTGTGCTGGAGGTGTCCCTGCTGGCAGTGGAGGGATGAGATGCTCCTGAAGGTCCCTGCTGACCCAAACCGTGCTGTGATCCAACGATTCTGGCTGCATCCCTGCCTTCATTCAGCCCCAACCCAGCTGTATCCCGTTCCCATCCCGGTTGTGTCTCAGTCCCATCCCAGCTGCCTCCTGACCCCGGCCTGCCTTCACCTTGACCCCAAGCTGTCTGCATCCTGACCCAATTTTGATCCATCTGGATGTGTCCACCCTGATCCTGTCCCGATCCTACAGCAGCAGCATCGCATCCCCATCCCAGCTGCATCTGAGACTGGCCCTGACTGCATCCTGACCCCAGTGTGGCCCCATCCCTTCATGCACCCTGACCCCCTCCTGCCCTCCCCAAACCTCTCCTTGGACATGACCCCCACTGCCCCTTTCACCCTGGGAGCTCCTCGCTGTGGGACGCGGGGCGGGGATGGGGCTGCGAGGCCCTGCTCCTGCCCTGCTGCCCCCAAGGCTCCCGAGCCACCTCCCATCATTCCCCCCCCTCTGCAGCCCCCCAGCTTCAGCCCCTTCCTGCAGAGCGACTACAGCGTGGCACTGCGCTGCATCCGCACACTGGTGGCAGGTAGGGGACAGGATGGGGGACGAAACCTCGACCCCGTCTGCAATGACCCGGGGGGGTTTGATGGCCACCGCCTGCCCCCCTTCTCAGCCAGCAGCTTCACCAAACCCACGGTGCTGACGGCCGCCTCCAGCCTCACCTTCGTACCCGAGGAGCTGGCAGTTTTCTGCCGGGATTTCCGTCTGCTGCGCTTCCACTTCCCAGAGAACGGGCTGGGGCTGCAGGCGTTCCGGGTGAGGGGATGGACGGCGTTTGGGCTGGGGGCTCATGTGTGGTGTCGGCCCCGGGCTCCACGCTGCAGGTGGCCAACGCCATCGCACAAGTGTGGGGAGTGGGATGTGGGGCTGGGATGGGGCTGGGATGGGATTGGGATGGGATTGGGATGGGGCTGGGATGCAGCTGGGATGGGATTGGGATGGGATTGGGATGGGGATGGGATGGGATTGGGATGGGATTAGGATAGCATTGGGATGGGATTGGGATGGGGCTGGGATGGGATTGAGATGGGATTGGGATGCAGCTGGGATGGGATTGAGATGGGATTGGGATGGGGCTGGGATGGGATTGGGATGGGGCTGGGATGCAGGTGGGATGCAGCTGGGATGGGATTGGGATGGGGCTGGGATGTAGCTGGGATGGGATTGGGATGGGA